ATGATAGTATACCGTGATCGTAATGGAGCCAGATTTGGGCCAGTGCATTGATAGCATCCTCAGGTAGACCAAGCCTCTCGGCCCCACTCGGACCCAACCCGTCTGCGCGCACAGCTCCATGAGGAACAGGGCTACTGACCTACCGCTTGGCACAGGGACCATACAATAGTATACCTTGACGGTAATGGAGCCAGATTTGGGCCAGTGCATCGGTAGCATCATCAGCCAGACCAAGCCTCTTGGCCCCACTCGGACCCAACCCGTCTGCGCGCACAGCCCCATGAGGAACAGGGCTACTGACCTACCGCTTGGCACAGGGACCATACAATATTATACCTTGACGGTAATGGAGCCAGATTTGGGCCAGTGCATCGGTAGCATCATCAGCGAGACCAAGCCTCTTGGCCCCACTCGGACCCACCCCGTCTACGCGCACAGCTCCATGAGGACCAGGGCTACTGACCTACCGCTTGGCACAGGGACCATACAATAGTATACCTTGACAGTAATGGGAGCCAGATTTGGGCCAGTGCATTGGTAGCATCATCAGCGAGACCAAGCCTCTGGGCCCCACTCGGACCCAACCCGTCTGCGCGCACAGCTCCATGAGGAACAGGGCTACTAGACCTACCGCTTGGCACAGGGATCATAGAATAGTATACCTTGATGGTAATGGAGCCAGATTTGGGCCAGTGCATTGGTAGCATCATCAGCCAGACCAAGCCTGTTGGCCCCACTAGGACCCAACCTGTCTGCGCGCACAGCTCCATGAGGAACAGGGCTACTGACCTACCGCTAGGCACAGGGACCATACAATATTATACCTTGACGGTAATGGAGCCAGATTTGGGCCAGTGCATCGGTAGCATCATCAGCGAGACCAAGCCTCTTGCTCCCACTCGGACCCACCCAGTCTACGCGCACAGCTCCATGAGGACCAGGGCTACTGACCTACCGCTTGGCACAGGGACCATACAATAGTATACCTTGACAGTAATGGGGCCAGATTTGGGCCAGTGCATCGGTAGCATCATCAGCGAGACCAAGCCTCTGGCCCCACTCGGACCCAACCCGTCTGCGCGCACAGCTCCATGAGGAACAGGGCTACTGACCTACCGCTTGGCACAGGGATCATAGAATAGTATACCTTGACGGTAATGGAGCCAGATTTGGGCCAGTGCAGTGGTAGCATCATCAGCTAGACCAAGCCTCTCGGCCCCACTCGAACCTAACCCGTCTGCGCGCACAGCTCCATGAGGAACAGGGCTACTAACCTACTGCTTGGCACAGGGACCATAGAATAGTATACCGTGATGGTAATGGAGCCAGATTTGGGCCAGCGCATCAGTAGCATTGTCAGCCAGACCAAGCCTGTTGGCCCCCCTCGGACCTAACCCGTCTGCACGCACAGCTCCATGAGGACCAGGGCTACTGACCTACCGCTTGGCACAGGGACCATACAATAGTATACCTTGACGGTAATGGGGCCAGATTTGGGCCAGTGCATCGGTAGCATCATCAGCGAGACCAAGCCTCTTGGCCCCACTCGGACCCAACCCGTCTGCGCCCACAGCTCCATGAGGAACAGGGCTACTGACCTACCGCTTGGCACAGGGACCATACAATAGTATACCTTGACGGTAATGGAGCCAGATTTGGGCCAGTGCATCGGTAGCATCATGAGCGAGACCAAGCCTCTTGGCCCCACTCGGACCCACCCCGTCTGCGCGCACAGCTCCATGAGGACCAGGGCTACTGACCTACCGCTTGGCACAGGGATCATACAATAGTATACCTTGACAGTAATGGGGCCAGACTTGGGCCAGTGCATCGGTAGCATCATCAGCCAGACCAAGCCTCTTGGCCCCACTCGGACCCAACCCGTCTGCGCGCACAGCTCCATGAGGAACAGGGCTACTGACCTACCGCTTGGCACAGGGATCATACAATAGTATACCTTGATGGTAATGGAGCCAGATTTGGACCAGTGCATCAGGTAGCATTGTCAGCCAGACCAAGCCTCTTGGCCCCACTCGGACCCAACCCGTCTGCGCGCACAGCTCCATGAGGAACAGGGCTACTGACTACCGCTTGGCACAGGGACCATATAATAGTATACCTTGATGGTAATGGAGCCAGATTTGGGCCAGTGCATCAGTAGCATTGTCAGCCAGACCAAGCCTGTCGGCCCCACTCGGACCTAACCCGTCTGCACGCACAGCTCCATGAGGACCAGGGCTACTGACCTACCGCTTGGCACAGGGACCATACAATAGTATACCTTGACGGTAATGGAGCCAGATTTGGGCCAGTGCATCGGTAGCATCATCAGCGAGACCAAGCCTCTTGGCCCCACTCGGACCCAACCTGTCTGCGCGCACAGCTCCATGAGGACCAGGGCTACTGACCTACCGCTTGGCACAGGGATCATACAATAGTATACCTTGACAGTAATGGGGCCAGATTTGGGCCAGTGCATCGGTAGCATCATCAGCCAGACCAAGCCTCTTGGCCCCACTCGGACCCAACCCGTCTGCGCCCACAGCTCCATGAGGAACAGGGCTACTGACCTACCGCTTGGCACAGGGACCACATGATAGTATACCGTGATGGTAATGGAGCCAGATTTGGGCCAGTGCATTGATAGCATCCTCAGCCAGACCAAGCCTCTTGGCCCCACTCGGACCCAACCCGTCTACGCGCACAGCTCCATGAGGACCAGGGCTACTGACCTACCGCTTGGCACAGGGATCATACAATAGTATACCTTGACGGTAATGGAGCCAGATTTGGGCCAGTGCATCGGTAGCATCATGAGCGAGACCAAGCCTCTTGGCCCCACTCGGACCCAACCCGTCTGCGCGCACAGCTCCATGAGGAACAGGGCTACTGACCTACCGCTTGGCACAGGGATCATACAATAGTATACCTTGACGGTAATGGAGCCAGATTTGGGCCAGTGCATCGGTAGCATCATCAGCGAGACCAAGCCTCTTGGCCCCACTCGGACCCAACCCGTCTGCGCCCACAGCTCCATGAGGAACAGGGCTACTGACCTACCGCTTGGCACAGGGACCATACAATAGTATACCTTGACGGTAATGGAGCCAGATTTGGGCCAGTGCATCGGTAGCATCATGAGCGAGACCAAGCCTCTTGGCCCCACTCGGACCCACCCCGTCTACGCGCACAGCTCCATGAGGACCAGGGCTACTGACCTACCGCTTGGCACAGGGATCATACAATAGTATACCTTGACAGTAATGGGGCCAGACTTGGGCCAGTGCATCGGTAGCATCATCAGCCAGACCAAGCCTCTTGGCCCCACTCGGACCCAACCCGTCTGCGCGCACAGCTCCATGAGGAACAGGGCTACTGACCTACCGCTTGGCACAGGGATCATAGAATAGTAAACCTTGACGGTAATGGGGCCAGATTTGGGCCAGTGCATCGGTAGCATCATCAGCCAGACCAAGCCTCTTGGCCCCACTCGGACCCAACCCGTCTGCGCGCACAGCTCCATGAGGAACAGGGCTACTGACCTACCGCTTGGCACAGGGACCATACAATAGTATACCTTGATGGTAATGGAGCCAGATTTGGACCAGTGCATCAGGAGCATTGTCAGCCAGACCAAGCCTCTTGGCCCCACGCGGACCCAACCCGTCTGCGCGCACAGCTCCATGAGGAACAGGGCTACTAACCTACTGCTTGGCACAGGGATCATACAATAGTATACCGTGATGGTAATGGAGCCAGATTTGGGCCAGCGCATCAGTAGCATTGTCAGCCAGACCAAGCC